GTTTAGAAACATCAAACCTAAATACAAACCTACATACGTACGATCTCCTTAAAGAAATAGCAGGGCAGGACAAACAAAACTATTCTTGAATAAAAACACCTGGATTTGCTTGAAGGGGGCGAGCGGGGTGCACTTTTAGGAGCAACCTCTTAAGGTGTAACACAGGGAAGCGCGATACGACTGGTTCTTCTCCATCCGGGACTCGGGCGCTGGGAAAACACCATTCAACGGCTGCCTTGCTTGGCAGCCTTCGAGGAGACCCCCGAGACGGGTCGGAACCCCCTTCCCGACCCGGACGCCAAAAGCCTGGAGCGTGTCCCGCCGGCCCAGCCTCTAAAAAGGAGCTAAAAAGAAGTCGCGGCTGAGCTCGCGTAAACGACCCCGAAGTGTGTTATTAAAACAAGCTAACTTCGTCTCTACGTTCCATATTTAGCCCCTATAGCTGAAAGGGAAAGAGCGCAAAGAGACCAGGTCTCACAACCTCCGCCGACGCCGCAGCCGCCGACGCCACCGGTTCTCGGTCGCATTCTTACGGACGGGGGCGGCCAAAGGCCAGACGGACATCTTAGGGGAGAGGACCAAACGAGTGGCCGGGGAGGAGGCGGGGGAAAGGGAAGGTGGGGATCCCCCGCTAACTAGGTAACAGAGAAAGCCGATATCTTTCTGGAATCAGGAAATGCGGGGATGGCTCGGCTCACCTGAGGCAGTAGCAGGCTTCCTTTTTTCCTTCCTGAAGCCTCGCCGGTAGACGTGCGCTCCGTCAACGTAGTGCAGAAAAGAGCACGGGAAAAAGCAGGGAACGGACAGGAAGTTGGGGACGGCCTCGGCGGATGGACAGGAACTCGGCCGTACTGGGAACGTCGTCGTCGTCGGTGGTCATGCTACGGGACGGAAAACTCTGCCCTCCTGTGGTCAAAAACGGGTACTGCGGTCGCCGAAAAAATAAAGCTTTTAAATGGGATTTTAAGGCTATTTATTTTCCCCCGTCTTTATTAGTAGCCTCTTATTAATATTAATAGGGCGACGGGAGGCCCTTTTGCCATTTTCAAAGGTTTATTTCTTTTGGTGGCTGCTATACCCGGCTTGGCCACGGGAGGGCACTGCTTTCCCTCCCTTAGCGATAGCGGCATTGAGGCCGTGGAAAAGGCCTAAGGTGGCCTCGATGGTAAATGCTATGGGACGGGTATTGCGGCCGCCAAGGGAAATAAGCCTTTTGAATGGGGTGTTCAAGGCTTACCTCGTTGATCGGACGTGGAGTCCGCCCTGCCCAGGCCCCCGAAAAAAAGGAAGTGGAAGGACAATTAAGAAGGACGGACCGGAAGTCGGCCATCTTGGGAAGGTCGCAATTTAAAAACCCTGGAGGACGGCGAATTTGCGCGGACAGGAAGTCGGACATACTGAGGAGGTCTACCCGAAAGGAAGTAGGGGGAAAGATTAAGAACGAAGCGACGGAAGTCGGACATGATGGAAAGGTCCTTTTACAGCAGCACCTGGGGGACGGCCGATACCGACGGGCAGGAAGCCCGCCGTCCAGAGAGGGCCTCTCGCAGATTACTTGTGAAGAACCAGCCGGCCGACATGCGCAGAAGGCCGAGGGAAGCGCAGCCCGTCCCTTTCGGAGGAGCATAGAGTGGCGACCCTTTGGCTGACGCTCTGCGCTTTGGGGCTTAGCTTCTCGGTGTCCCGATCCTGGGCAAGTGGCCTACGACGGCCTCCCTGGTAACGCTATGGGACGGAAAACACTGCCCTCTTGTGGTCAAAAGCGGGTACTGCTGCCGCCCAAAGAAATAAATTGAATAGCATTTGAAGCTTATTCTTCTCTATTTTTATTCTTAACGCCTTATTATTAATATTAACGTGGCGACGGGGGGCCCGGTCGGTGCGACACGGGCGCAGAAGAAATCCTGGTTCCAATCTTAAACCGAGTTAAGGCCTATCGTGGCTTGTTCATATTAATAAGTGTTAATAATCAAGAATAATCATCTTAAAGAGGTTTATTTATTTTTCTGGCCGCAGTATCTGATTTGACCAGTTTTCCGTCCCTTAGCAGGGCTGGCTCAGGAATTCTGGGAGTTGAAGTCCACCAGTCATCAAAGAGCCAAGGTTGCCTACCCCTGCCTTAGCTATAGGATGGAGGCCATTAAAAAGGCCTAGGATGGACTCCAAGCCAAAGCTATGGGACAGAAAACTGTGCCCTTCCGGGGTCAAAAATGGGTATTGCGGCCACCCAAAGAAATAAACCTTTTTAATGGCATTTTAAAATGACCGTATTCTCTATCTTTATTAACGGTATTAACACCTTATTAATAGACGAAGGTCCACAAAGTTAGATGGACGGCGAACAAATTAATAAATGCCATTAGTTGCAACTTCTCACGTCTCATCCCTTTTATCAATCCTTTAAATGATAAACCTATAAGGGAACGATAGGTTATATACTTTTTCAAAATAAACTACATTTATTTTTAGATTGATCGTTTCGTAATAAAAATACACAATATTTCAAATCGATATTTGATATTGCGCTTATATGAATACATAGGTATCTCTAAGAAATATAGTTTAGAAACACCAAACCTAAATACAAACCTACATACGTACGATCTCCTTAAAGAAAAAGAAGGGAAGGACAAACAAAACTATGCTTGAATAAAAACATCTGGGTTTGCTTGAAGGGGGCGAGCCGGGTGCACTTTTAGGAGCAACCTCTTAAGGTGTAACACAGGTAAGTGCGATACGATTGGATCATGGAGAAAGCTAGGGAGTTCCAGAAAAACATCTACTTCTGCTTCATTGACTACGCTAAAGCCTTTCATTGTGTGGATCACAACAAATGGTGGCAAGTTCTTAAAGAGATGGGAATACCAGACCATCTTATTTGTCTCTTGAGAAACCTATATGCGGGTCAAGAAGCAACAGTGAGAACTGGACACGGAACCACGGATGGGTTCACAATTGGAAAAGGAGTCCGGCAAGGCTGTATACTGTCGCCCTGCCTATTTAACTTATATGCAGAGCACATCATGAGAAAGGCAGGGCTAGATGAAACAAAAGTTGGAATTAAGATTGCCGGGAGAAATATCAACAACCTAAGATATGCAGCTGATACCACTCTAAGGGCAGAAAGTGAAGAGGAACTAAGGAGCCTCTTGATGCGGGTGAAGAAGGAGAGTGCAAAAGTTGGCTTGAAACTCAACATTAAGAAAACCAAAATCATGGCATCCGGCCCACTCAATTCCTGGCAAATAGACGGGGAAGAAATGGAGGTGGTGACAGATTTTATTTTTCTAGGCTCCAAGATCACCTCAGATGGGGACTGCAGCCAAGAAATTAAAAGACGCTTGCTCCTGGGAAGGAAAGCTATGGCAAATCTAGACAGCGTACTAAAAAGCAGAGACATCACCCTGCCAACAAAAGTGCGTATAGTCCAGGCCATGGTTTGCCCAGTTGCAATGTATGGCTGTGAAAGTTGGACCAGAAGGAAGGCTGAGCGCCAAAGAATGGAGGCCTTTGAACTATGGTGCTGGAGAAGACTCCTGCGAGTCCCTTGGACTGCAAGGCGTTCAAACCGGTCAGTCCTAGAAGAGATCAACCCCGACTGCTCTTTAGAAGGCCAGATCCTGAAGTTGAAACTCAAATACTTTGGCCACCTAATGAGAAGGAAGGACTCACTGGAGAAGCGCCTAATGCTGCGAAAGATTGAGGGCACTAGAAGAAGGGGACGACAGAGAATGAGGTGGTTGGATGGAGTCACTGAAGCAGTAGGTGTGAACTTAAATGGACTCCAGAAGATGGTAGAGGACAGGAAGACCTGGAGGAACGTTGTCCATGGGGTCGCGATGGGTCGGACACGACTTTGCAATTAACAACAACAACAAAAGAAATAAACCTTTTTAACGGCATTTTAAAATGACGGTATTCTCTATCTTTATTAACGGTATTAACACATTATTAATAGGGCCCATTGGAGGAAAATTCCACTTAGGGTTTCCTGCTTCAGCAGGCGGCTGGACTAGAAGACCTCCGAGGTCCCTTCCAGCTGTATTCTGACAGAATTTTCCTCCAATGGGATTTTCCCATGTATTTCACTAGGAAACATACATAGGGCAGCCTAGAAAGGTCAATGCACTCCTAACCATACCCAAGCACTCCGAGTTTGTTGGCGATGTCCATTTTGCTCTAGGAGTTCATGGTGATGTAACCCTAACCCTAAGTGGAATTTTCCTCCAATGGGATTTTCCTACTTTTTTACCAGGAAACATAGAAAGGGCAGCCTAGAAAAGTCAGTGCCCTCCTAACCATACCCAAGCACTCCTAGTTTGTTGGCGATGTCCATTTTGCTCTAAGAGTTCACGGTGACGTAACCCTAACCCTAAGTGGAATTTTCCTCCAATGGGATTTTCCCATGTATTTTACCAGGAAACATACATAGGGCAGCCTAGAAAGGTCAATGCTATCCTAACCATACCCAAGCACTCCTTGTTTGTTGGCGATGTCTATTTTGCTATAGGAGTTTATGGAGACGTAACCCTAACCCTAAGTGGAATTTTCCTCCAATGGGATTTTCCCATGTATTTTTCCAGGAAAAATAGATAGGGCAGCCTAGAAAGGTCAATGATATCCTAACCATACCCAAGCACTCCTAGTTTGTTGGCGATGTCCATTTTGCTCTAGGAGTTCATGGTGATGTAACCCTAACCCTAAGTGGAATTTTCCTCCAATGGGATTTTCCCATGTATTTTACCAGGAAACATACATAGGGCAGCATAGAAAGGTCAGTGCACTCCTAACCATACCCAAGCACTCCAAGTTTGTTGGCGATGTCCATTTTGCTCTAAGAGTTCACGGTGACGTAACCCTAACCCTAACTGGAATTTTCCTGCAATGGGATTTTCCCATGTATTTTACCAGGAAACATACATAGGGCAGCCTAGAAAGGTCAATGATATCCTAACCATACCCAAGCACTCCGAGTTTGCTGGCGATGTCCATTTTCCTCTAGGAGTTCATGGAGACGTAACCCTAACCCTAACTGGAATTTTCCTGCAATGGGATTTTCCCATGTATTTTACCAGGAAAAATAGATAGGGCAGATGTCAAGCCCCCAAAGGCTTGCCATACGAACGGGGACGGGGGAGCACGGACAACGACCTACCAGCCCGAGTAACAGCTGAGCAGTACCCCGCCACACCCCACAGCCGCACCGGGCGAATGTCAACTGCGCAGACATCTCCACAAGCTGCACTACAGATGCCACCAAAACCCAAGAGGCACCTGCCGCTGACGGGGCAGGAAGCCCACGAGCGGAGACTGCAGCCTGCGGAAGGGAGAGCGGCGAACGGCTCCTTCGGGGGCGGGAGGACTGCACTCCGGCGGCCGGGCCCAGCAAGGGGGAGCAGGGGGTTTCCCCCTAGCAATCAGGACGTTTGGCAGGGCAAGTTTGGCGGCGGGCAACTGACGCGCGGATCGAGTGCATGGACAATGGGGCGTGGGGGCGGAGTCCCGTCGGGGAAAGGGAAAGCACAGGGAAAGGGTGGAGCATTTATTCATCTTGAGCGGATGGTGGTTTGGGACCAGGGGCGGGGTCACAGGGTGGAGCACGCCGATATATGGCGGTGGGAGGAAACTAACCCCAGTGCTGACTTTATCTCACTTGAATAATAAAGTGCTTGTTGGGTGTCAGTGTGTGCCGGTCTTCTTTGCCTTCGTGCTGCGAACGACGTCGGATACGCTGACAGAAAGTCAGCACTCACCTACTTCCTCTCCAGCCTCCAGCTCCCACGTGCGGTGGACGGCTAAGGTATGGCGGAGGGAACGCAGGGGGCCGCCCTGGTTGAGGGAGAGATGGCGGCCGATGGGCCTGCGGACACTGTTCCGGTGCTGGAGCCAGCGGCAGCCCAGCCGGTGGTGCGGCCGAAGCTGCTACTGCCTGCAATCCCGGGACTCGACGAGGGGGAGGCACGGGCCGCAAAGCCACAGGAGGAGTGGTGGCAAAGCCCGGCGGTGACGGGAATGCAGACCGAGCGGCTATTAACACCTAAACCGAAGCCCAGTCATTCGGGATGGAGGGAGAGATGCGCCACCATAGAGGATGACGACGACTGGAGCTATTCCACGGCTCCGGGCCAAGAGACCATGGATATATTGCGTCGTCGGTTCGGCGAAGCAAGCTACAGGGGCGCTGCTGATATGTGGCAATCGGAAGGGGATGCTGCGGGACGCACCCCCTCATCTAGGTTTCGCTTGAGCAGTCCGCGGCTGCGGTTGCCTACGGGTGGGCCGGGCGCCATGGGACTCCCGTCGAGCGGCTCGCCGGGTCACGCGCGTCCAGCTCAGCCGGGCGGCCCCAAGAACGTGGCAAGAGGACCAGCGAGGCTAGGGGGTGTGGAGCAGCAGAGCTTGGCGGCTGGGTATCCTAACCTCGTGCCAGGCCAACCCCAGGGCCCATGGGGGCCAGGATATCCATGGGGGGTTCCTCCCATTCCGGTCACTTTTGATGGAAACCCCGACGAACTGGCAATGTTTCTGGGGCAAGCCATAAGCCACCTGGACCAGTTTGCCCAGCTATATGTCTCCCAATGGGCTATGGTCGGCGCCATCACCGCCGCCTTGCGCGGAGAGGCGGCCGCATGGGCAGCCGACCTGTACAGTGACCATGCCCGGGAGTTGGGGAGTGCGGGGCTATTCTTGGACGCTCTGCATGGGAGGTTTGAGGATCCAACCCGGGCACAGAGGGCTGAGGCAGACCTGCTGGCACTCCAACAAGGGAACCGCCCGGCCATCGAATACGTGCGGGAATTCCGGAAGTTAGCCGGCCGCTTGCAGTCTTCATGGCCGGAGCGGATGTTAGTACATCAATTTAGAGCAGGCCTAGACCAGGACCTACGGCAAGCCTGCGTATACCGGGGTGTGCCCAACAGGCTGAGGGACTGGTTCAGAGTGGGGGTCGAACTCGAGACAGGCCTTAAAGCCGTTTATCGAGGGATTGGGGACGCCCCGCGGCCGCGGCGTACCGGAGAGAGGCCTCGCAAGGGGAGTCAAGACCAACAGGGAACCACACCAAAACCCCTTGGGGCGTCAGGAGGAGGCGGCTTTCGATGCTTCCGCTGCGACCAGCCGGGCCATCGAGCAGCCGACTGCCCAGCGCCCAGCCCACGTAAGGCCGCAACAGTTGGTAGAGCTACGCCCATGAAGAAAGCTACGGAGAAATCGAGGGCGGTTATTCAGCCACCAGCCCCAGGGGCGAAAACGGGGTCTCCGGCCATGGTGGAGTCTACGGCCATGGCACGCTACCAGACGGGAGACGAGGAGGACGGCTCGGATGACCGAGTGGGCGATCCCATGGTGAGTGACCCTATTAGCCCATTCGTCCTCCCTATAATCCTCACGAGTCCGGTGACAGGAGCGAAGAAGGCGTGTCAGGCCTTGATCGACACGGGGTGCACGCGGTGTCTGATGAGTAGGAAGGTAGCGGTGGATAGTGGGTTCCGAATATATCCATTACCACAACCAATACGGTTCGAACAGGTGGACGGGTCACTGTTGGGAGGAGTCCCCGCAACCCATGTGACGGAACAGGTACGCATGGATCTAGGAGATCATTGGGAGGTGTTGCGGTTCATCGTGATACCCATTACGACAGAGACTGTCATATTGGGGTTATCCTGGCTGGACAAATGGACCCCAACTATATGGTGGGAGGAAGGGTACCGTAAGATGCGTCTTGGGATGGGCCCAATCCCAAGGACGGGTGGTAACGGTGGCCAAGTTCCCGACGCCCCGGAGACGACGGCGCAACTCCAGGAGAGGGGGGGGGAAGTGTCTTACCCAGAGGAATACAGGGATCTAGCGATGGTCTTCAGCGAGGAGGAGTGTAACCACCTGCCTCCTCATCGGCCGACGGATTGTGCCATAGAGCTATTGCCGGGGGTCAAGCTTCCGAAACCCCGGATGTACGCCATGACGTTGCCGGAGCTGCAGGAACTCCGTAGATATATCGACCATAATCTGGCGCGAGGATTCATCCAGCCTGCTAGGTCCCGGATAGCGGCTCCCGTGCTTTTCAAGGAAAAGAAAGATGGGTCGTTGCGCTTATGTGTCGACTTCCGAGGGCTAAACGCAGTATGTGTCGAGCATGTATACCCCCTTCCCCTGATGAAGGACCTGTTGGCACACCTGGGAACGGGCCGCATTTATACCAAATTGGACTTACGGGAGGCGTACTATAGGGTGCGAATTAGGGCTGGCGACGAATGGAAGACGGCATTCAACTGCCCATTGGGTAGCTTCCAGTTTCGCGTCATGCCGTTCGGGTTACGAGGGGCCCCTGCGGTGTTCATGCAGTTAATCAATCAGGTGTTGCATGAACACCTATACCGCGGGGTGCTTGTGTACCTGGACGACATACTAATATATACCGCAACAAGGGAAGAGCATGTCAGTCTGGTGAGGCAGGTGCTGCGGAAGTTACTGGAGGCACAGCTTTATGTGAAGTTGTCTAAGTGCGAGTTCCACCGGGAGCGGCTAGATTACCTGGGCTACCGTATCTCGGGGGCCGGGGTGGAAATGGATCCGAGCAAGGTGCAAGCAGTACAGGAATGGCAAGCGCCCCAGACTAGACGCCAGCTGCAAAGTTTCCTCGGGTTCGCGAATTTTTACCGCCAGTTTATCCCGTCCTTTGCTGCCGTGGTGCATCCCCTCACGGAGCTGCTGCGGACGAAACATCTTACGGCGAGGGCTCGTCCAAGCCAACGAATAGAGTGGACTATGAGTTGTCAAAAGGCGTTTGAAACACTGAAAACGTTGTTCGCTAAGGAACCCGTGTTGCGCCACCCGGACCAAAGTGCCCCTTTTGTGGTACAGGTGGACGCAAGCGATGTGGCGGTGGGGGCGGTGTTGTTGCAAAAGAACAGTGGGGGAGTGTTGCAGCCCTGTGCCTATACTTCGCGCAAATTTACGGCGGCCGAGTGTAGCTGGGCCGTCTGGGAGAAGGAGGCCTTCGCGATCCGCTGGGCTCTGGCAACATGGAGGCATTTGTTAGAAGGGGCCAAGCAACCTTTTGAAGTGTGGACAGACCATAAGAATTTGGAGGCGCTACAAACTCCGAGGCGCTTAGCCCCCAAACATGTCCGGTGGGCCCAATATTTCAACCGATTCCAATTCACATTGAAGTATGTGCCAGGGGGGAAAAACTTCCTAGCCGACGCGTTGTCACGAATGCCGCAGTACCACAGCAAGCGGGAGGAGGTGATACAGGCACTGATGCCTCCTTCTCGGTATGAGACCGCGAGGACTGTAAGTCATAGGTCTCAGGTGAGTGAACTAGAAGCCATGAGAACAGCCCTGTTGACAGATACGTGGGCGAAGGAGCATTCGGGGTGGTTGACTACTCGGGACGGTATGGCATGGAAAGGCGATAGGATATATGTGCCCGAGAGCCTACGCCTAACCGTACTCCAAAAATGTCATGACGCAAAACAAGCGGGCCATTTCGGGTTTTTAAAAACCCTACACCTGTTACGACGACAATTCTGGTGGCCCAAACTGAAAGTAGACGTGGAACGGTATGTAAAAGGGTGCCACGTATGCGCCAGTGCAAAGCCCCGAGTAGGGAAGCCCATGGGATTATTACAAACAGTGGCCAATCCATCCCGACCGTGGGAAGAGATCGCCATGGATTTTATTGTAGAACTACCCAACAACCGGGGCTACAGCGTGATATGGACCGTGATAGACCTCTTCTCCAAACAGGCGCACTTTATTCCATGCAAAGGCCTGCCATCAGCGCGACGATTGTCGCGGTTGTTTATTCAACACATCTACCGGCTCCATGGCAGACCTAGGAGAATTGTATCAGATAGAGGAGTGCAATTCACCGCGAAGTTCTGGAGGGAGTTCGTTCGTTCACTAGGGTCCTCACAGGCATTGAGTTCAGCGTATCACCCGAGCACCAACGGGGCGGCAGAGAGGGCAAACGCCATGGTGGAAAGGTACCTCCGGAGTTATGTGTCATTCCAGCAGACGGACTGGGTGGACCTCTTGCCGTTTGCTGAAGTGGCATATAATAACACTGTCCACCACAGCACGGGGTACGCCCCATTTAAAATAGTGTACGGGGTGGAGTTTAACCCCATTCCCGACCTGTCACCAGAGGTAGCTAGCGGCCAGACCCCTCAAACATGGTACTCCAAGATCACAGGGTTGTGGGACCAGGTGAAGGCAGCACGGAGGAAGGCCGAAGCTACTGCCAAACTCCAAGCTGACAAAAGGAGAGCAGAGCATAAACCATTCAAGGTGGGGGACTGGGTGTATTTAGCCACCAAATATTTATGGTTGCAAGTGCCGTGCAAGAAACTGGGCCCAAAATATGTGGGGCCTTTCCAGATCCTCAAGGTGGTCAACCCGGTTACCGTCCAACTACGGTTACCCGCCTCTCTAGGCAAGATTCATCCCGTGTTCCATAGTAGCCTGCTCAAACTGGCACATAAAAGTCCCTACGCTGATGGGGCACCTGGACCGATCAGTGCACTCCTAACCATACCCAAGCACTCCGAGTTTGTTGGTGATGTCCATTTTCCTCTAGGAGTTCATGGAGACGTAACCCTAACCCGAACTGGAATTTTCCTGCAATGGGATTTTCCCATGTATTTTTCCAGGAAACATAGATAGGGCAGCCTAGAAAGGTCAGTGCTCTCCTAACCATACCCAAGCACTCCTAGTTTATTGGCGATGTCCATTTTGCTCTAGGAGTTCATGGTGACGTAACCCTAACCCTAAGTGGAATTTTCCTCCAATGGGATTTTCCCACTTTTTTACCAGGAAACATAGATAGGGCAGCCTAGAAAGGTCAATGCTATCCTAACCATACCCAAGCACTCCGAGTTTGTTGGCGATGTCCATTTTCCTCTAGGAGTTCATGGAGACGTAACCCTAACCCTAACTGGAATTTTCCTGCAATGGGATTTTCCCATGTTTTTTACCAGGAAACATACATAGGGCAGCCTAGAAAGGTCAGTGCACTCCTAACCATACCCAAGCACTCCTAGTTTGTTGGCGATGTCCATTTTCCTCTAGGAGTTCATGGAGACGTAACCCTAACCCGAACTGGAATTTTCCTGCAATGCAATCAAAGTGTTTCATAAAATGCTAACGCTGTAATCTACAAGCCACATTAACGCAATTGAAATTTCCTCTTAAAATTACACAAGAGGATTGCTCAGAAATCAAAAGCTCGGCCAAAGAGATGCGTTCTTACCTTGTCCCTAAATGCCCGGAAAGCGGGGCCCGTGAGCATCACCCAAAGATTCTGTCGCACGGCCTGCCAGGTGTGCCAGAAAAGGCCCTTTACGGTAGACTGCCAAGCTCTGCTAGTGGGAAGGCCCTTGGAGAGGTCCCTCCCGCTATTTCCCACCAAAACTGCAATATTGACAGGAGCGGTGGCGATCGCAACCTCCCACCCTGTTTCCCGCTTCCTCTTGGGGTTTTTACTGGGCTCCCAACCTTACTCCATTTCCATCCCTGTCTCTTTAAAAGGAAAAGCCTTAACCTCACTGAAAGTGGCAAAAAAAGGGGGGGGGGAAATCCTCAAGGACATCTTACCTGTTTCCCCCCAATTCCTTCTTAACAGCCACAGCAAGGGGGGGGTGTCACCCATCCGGCAGAGGCTCTAGGCTGGAAATCCAGGGAGCGTGACCTGCTTTCTCCACTGCCTTTTCCAAAAAGGCTGAAGCTTTCAGCCGGCAGGCGTCCCCACCCTTCCTCCTGGCCGCTACATCAGGCTGCGGGAAGTTAGCAAAATTGAAAGCTACCGAAGTTGCCCCTGGGCTCGGAAAAACAGTGCTGACTCGATAGGACCCAAAAGGCTACCGGAATCACCCTGGGCTTTATCTGCCTCCCGCTTGCTGCAAAGCTACCCGCTTACCTGTCTCGTACCCTCCTTTCCGTTTTGGATTCTGTTGCTAAGATGGCCCTGCAAGTCCTTTCTGACTAACACCACCACCACCACGGTCAAAAAGGAAAGCATTAGGCCCGTAGGAAAGGGCCTTGTCTGCACAGCTAACCGGACTGTGAGACGGGACCCTGGAAGAAAAAGGGTAATCTTGCATCTCTTTGACCGAGCTTCGACCTGAAACTTATCCTGGTGCTTACTTTGAACTGATTTCAATGGCGTAAGGTTCCTCCCGTTTCCCTGTGATGATTTAAAAAACAAAAGTACCGCTGTTGCAAGCAGGTGCCGTTACAGTTACGCTTTTGTGTTTTTTATTTTAAAAGGGTGGACGGCAATTAACGCTAACCGTTTTCAAAATCTGGTTTACGGTGATGTTTATTCCTAGAGTTTAGTACGCTAAGGTTTAAGATGTAATCTATCTTTATAGTTATTTCTAAGTTTACATTGGGTACGTTTGTTTCTAAGTTATTTTATATCTCGGCAGCTTTTGTTTCTTCTAGCATCAAAGTGCTTCGTAAAACGCTAACGCTGTTACCTACAAACCACATGGACGCAATTGAAATCGCTCTTAAACTGCATTTATTTTTATGTTGATCGTTTCTTAATAAAAATGCACACAATTTCAAATAAGAGATTTGATATTGCACCTATATTAATACATAGGGATCTCTAAGAAATATAGTTTAGAAACATCAAACCTAAATACAAACCTACATACGTACGATCTCCATAAAGAAATAGCAGGGCAGGACAAACAAAACTATTCTTGAATAAAAACACCTGGATTTGCTTGAAGGGGGCGAGCGGGGTGCACTTTTAGGAGGAGCAACATCTTAAGGGGTAACACAGGGAAGCGCGATACGACTGGTTCTTCTACACCCGGGACTCGGGCGCTGGGAAAACACCATTCAACGGCTGCCTTGCTTGGCAGCCTTCGAGGAGACCCCCGAGACGGGTCGGGACCCCCTTCCCGACCCGGACGCCAAAAGCCTGGAGCGTGTCCCGCCGGCCCCGCCTCTAAAACAGAGCTAAAAAGAAGCGGCGGCTGAGCTCGCGTAAACGACCCCGAAGTGTGTTATTAAAACAAGCTAACTTCGTCTCTACGTTCCCAATTTAGCCCCTATAGCTGAAAGGGAAAGAGCGCAAAGAGACCAGGTCTCGCAACCTCCGGCGCCGCCGCCGCCACCGGTTCTCGGTCGCATTCTTACAGACACCGGCGGCGAAAGGCCAGGAACGGCCAGGCGGACATCTTAGGGGAGAGGACCAAACGAGTGGCCGGGGAGGAGGGGGAAGGTGGGGATCCCCCGCTAACTAGGTAACAGAGAAAGCCGGTATCTTTCTGGAATCAGGAAATGCGGGGATGGCTCGGCTCACCTGAGGCAGTAGCAGGCTTCCTTTTTTCCTTCCTGAGGCCTCGCCGGTAGACGTGCGCTCCGTCCACGTAGTGCAGAAAAGAGCACAGGAAAAAGCAGGGAACCGTGCTGCGAACGGACAGGAAGTTGGGCACGAATTTGGCCGTACCGGGGACGTCGACGTCGGTGGTCATGATACTGGACGGAAAACTGTGCCCTCCTGTGGTCAAAAACGGGTACTGCGGCCTCCGAAAAAAATAAAGCTTTTAAATGGGATTTTAAGGCTATTTATTTCCCCCCCATCTTATTAATAACCTCTTATTAATATTAATAGGGCGACGGGAGGCCCCTTTGCCATTTTCCAAGGTTTATTTCTTTCGGTGGCTGCTATACCCGGCTTGGCCACGGGAGGGCACTGTTTTCCCTCCCTTAGTGATAGCAGCATTGAGGCCGTGGAAAAGGCCTATGGTGGCCTCGATGGTAAATGCTCCATTTCCATCCCTGTCTCTTTAACAGGAAAAGCCTTAACCGCACTGAAACTGGCAAAAAAAGGGGAAACTTACCTGTTCCCCCCCCCAGTTCCTTCTTAACAGCCACAGCAAGGGGGGGGGTCACCCATCCGGCGTAACCTAGTAACCCTAACCCTAAGTGGAATATTCCTCCAATGAGATTTTCCCATGTGTTTTACCAGGAAACATAGATAAGGCAGGCTAGAGAAACTCAGTGCCCTCGTAACCATACCGAAGGACTCCGAGTTTCTTGGCAATGTCCATTTTGCTCTAGGAGTTCATGGTGACGTAACCCTAACCCTAAGTGGAATATTCCTCCAATGAGAGTTTCCCATGTATTTTACCAGGAAACATAGATAAGGCAGCCTAGAAAAGTCACTGCCCTCCTAACCATATGCAAGCACGCCGGGTTCGTTGGCGATGTCCATTTTGCTCTAGGAGTTCATGGTGACATAACCCTAACCATAAGTTGAATTTTCCTCCAATGAGATTTTCCCATGTATTTTACCAGGAAACATAGATAGGACAGCCTAGAAAACTCAGTGCCCTCCTAACCATACCGAAGCACTCCGAGTTCGTTGGCAATGTCCATTTTGCTCTAGGAGTTCATGGTGACGTAACCCTAACCGTAAGTGGAATATTCCTCCAATGAGAGTTTCCCATGTATTTTACCAGGAAACATATATAAGGCAGCCTAGAAAAGTCACTGCCCTGCTAACCATACCCAAGCACGGTGAGTTCGTTGGCGATGTCCATTTTGCTCTAGGAGTTTATGATGACGTAACCCTAACCCTAAGTGGAATTTTCCCTAACCCTAACCCTGACCCTGACCCTGACCCTAACCCTGACCCTAACCCTAACCCTAACCCTAACCCTAACCCTAAGTGGAATTTTCCTCCAATGGGATTTTCCCATGTATTTTACCAGGAAACATATATAGGGCAGCCTAGAAAAGTCACTGCCCTCCTAACCATACGCAAGCACGCCGAGTTCGTTGGCGATGCCCATTTTACTCTAGGAGTTCATGGTGACAT